ACAACACTTGTTCTCCCCTCATCCTCCTTTGAGTGTAATTTAGACAGATCAGTCGGCATAACTATCTCCTAACCATGAATGCCATGACAGGTGCCTGGCCCAGCTGGCTGAGAATAGCCTTTCTTTACTGTTCTGGGAGGGGGAATGGTGCCTCTCATTTAGTAAGCTGTTTTGTCGTCTTTCTTCCACCCCCTACTCTCTAGGGGGCCTGGAGAGGCCGATTTATGACTCCCTTCTTATTGCATCTTCAGCTTTTGAACTTTGGTTTCTCCTACTATTTTTTGGTTGCAGTGGGAGATACCTATTTCTAATTGAATAGATATTCTTTTTAAAAAATTGACCTACAAGAGCAATACTTAAAACTAACTCTTTTAAGCGAGTGGTGGTAACAATGAAGGGGTCATTTACATCTTCTCCTTTTTCCTGTGTACTGTGTTTTGCAGTTTTCTTCTTTTTTTGTTCAGTGACGTTGAGGAGCTAGAATTTAGATTTCAGTTAGTAAGCCAAAGTCATATCATAGCTGTGGGATTGAACAATGTGGGGCTGAGTCAAACAGAAGGAGGTACTTGCAGCTCCAGTAACTGAATAGTGGAGAAAGCACTTGTGGTTTTCTCCAGGAAGACCTCCAATTGGACCTTCAGAAAGAGATCAAACCAGCTTATACTGTCTGGGAGGCTTCCTGCCACACACCACTCAGACTTTGATATTGCAAAATCCAGTGTCATCTTTTCTTTTTTTTTTTTTGAGACGGAGTCTGGCTCTGTCACCAGGCTGGAGTGCAGAGGCGCAATCTCTGCTCACTGCAATCACTCCCTCCCGGGTTCAAGTGATTCTCCTGCCTCAGCCTCCTGAGTAGCTGGGTTTACAGGTGCACACCACCATGCCCAGCTAATTTTTGTATTTTTAGTAGAGATGGGGTTTCACCATGTTGGCCAGGGTGGTCCTGATCTCTTCACCTTGTGATCTGCCTGCATCAGCCTGCCAAAGTGCTGGGATTATAGGCGTGAGCCACTGTGCCCAGCTATCATCTTTTATTTCTATACAACTTTTAATCTGCTTAAATGTGGAACAGTATCTCTAAAAACCCTTTGAGATTTTTTTTTTTCAAATTCTGTGTTCAACTTTTGCTTTTCTTGTAAAATGACCTGCCTCTAGTGTTGGATTCAGAGGGAGGGCCCTGAGGTGTTTGAATTCTCAGTGTTGTGGATCCCTTGCCTGCCTTCTTGGGTGCAAATTGTGCCAAGGTCCTGGACCTGCCCTTTTTGATCACTCACCTGCTTGCCCTTGAGATTGTGGCATCATTTCCAGAGAAATGGAAATTTCTTCCCAGAAAGAAAATCTCCCACAGACTTTTAAACAAGGGGTCTCCTATCCCCACTGATAACACATCAGGTTTTTTTTTTAGTCTCAAATTGGAAACTCACAAGAGCCTAGCACCTGGTCACTGCCTGATCTGGCAATAACTCACCTTTCAAGGGAGGCAAGGGAAGCGGGTGCAATTTAACCAAATGACCCTTTTTCTCCCAGTGAGAATATGGGAGCTTGGAAGAAACAGAAAGGGCTGGACCCTGAAAGCAGCATGAAATCTATGTTTGCCTTTCAATTTTTTTTTTTTTTTGAGATGGAATTTTGCTCTAGTAGCCTAGGGTTGAGTGCAATGGTGCGATCTCAGTTCACTGCAACCTCTGCCTCCTGGGTTCAAGGGATTCTCCTGTCCCAGCCTCCCGAGTAGCTGGGATTACAGGCATATGCAACTGTGCCCAGCTAATTTTGTATTTTTAGTAGAGATGGGTGTTCTCCATGTTGGTCAGGCTGATCTCGACCTCCCACCTCAGCCTCCTAAAGTGCTGGAATTACAGGAGGAAGCCACCGTGGCACGCCTGGCCCTGCCTTGCAATTTTTAGCAGAAGTAATCCCAGCACCACTGTGCAATTTGAAGTCTATTTGCTTCTTTGATTTTGTCCATAAAGAGTGTAACAGAGATTTAACTATGAATTACTTTTTATATTGTTTGTAAAACACAAGAGGCAACTCAAATACTTTTTTTAAATGCTAAAATAAATGAGCAGTATATTCTAAGCAGTATTCTTTTGTATCCATGGAGTGGTTTGGTTTAGAGACCACAAAACATTCCTGTCTCAAAATACTTGTAATTGGGGAAATAAGCCAATTTGGTAACAACTACCACCAAAAAAAAAATAAATAAATAAATAAATAAATAAATAAATAAAATTAAAAGTAATTGGTGCTAGGCTCTTGTGAGTTTCCAATTTGAGACTAAAAAGAAACTTGACATGTTACCAGTGGGGATAGGAGACCCCTTGTTTAAAAGTCTTTGGGAGATTTTATTTTTGGGAAGAAAGGGTATTTGGTATGATTTATATTCAGAATATGTCAAAATATATTTTAAAACTATTCAATATTTGACAAAAGAAGACAAATATTTGACAAAAAAAGACAAAAACACCCTACAAATTGAATACGTCCTTTGACTTAACAATTCTGTTTTTAAAAAAATTATTTTTGTTTTTATTTTTGGAGATAGAATCTCACTTAGGCTGGAGCAGTGGCCTGGTCATAGTTCACCATAGCCTCAAACTCTGGGCTCCTTGACAATTCTGTTTCTATTTTTCAGAAGCAATGTCATAATTACATAAAGATGTATGCCCCAGGACAGTAATTGGACCGGATTTGTAACAGAAAAACAAAAACAAGCCTAGATATTTATTAATGTGTATTTCAGTGATCATGCACGGGAATCGCACATACCTGCCATAAAAATGTACGGACTTGGAAAAAAGACATGCTTGATACATTTTTAAAGTAAAAACTGTGAGTTGTGGACCAAGAAAGTGTATATAATTCTGTATTTGGAAAAAATGTTTGCATGTGCACATGTATGGGTATGTGTAAATACACAATGGACTTGTGTGTTTCACCTTAGGAACAAGTTAGGATGCAAGTGAATGTTAACAGCCACTGCGAGGTGGATTGTATTGTATTTTATAGAATTCAAAGAAGTGAGAGGATTATGAGTAATTTTTGGTACCTTTTATTATTGTTAAAAAAAATCCTAAAACAATGCTTTTTTTCCCTTTTTTTTAAAAATTGCATTTTAGGTTTTGGGGTACATGTGAAGGACATGCAAGACAGTTGCATAGGTACACACGTGGCAGTGTGATTTGCTGCCTTCCTCCCCTTCACCTATACCTGGCATTTCTCCCCATGCTCTCTCTCCCCAACTCCCCGCCCCTCGCTGTCCCTCCCCTATTCCCCTCAACAGACCATCATTGTCAGCAAACTGACACAAGAACAGAAAATGAAATACCGCATGTTCTCACTCAAAGGTGGTGGTGAACAATGAGAACACATGGACACAGGGAAAACAATGCTTTTAGGTCAGGAGGGAAATCTTAGGGCTAAAGAAAGATCCGTGGGAAAACCCTGAGCCGACACTGCTCTCTGCTGGGAATCTCGCGCCATGCACGGTCTTGGTTTGCTTCCGGGATCCGTGGCCAGGTCCCTCCGTGCTCCAGGAGAGGGCGACCGGCCCAGTGCCTTTTGCCGGCGCGGGGAAGGAGACCCGGGTCACCTGGGCCAGCGACCTTCAAATCTGGGGGTTGCACGTCAGAACTGCCCCGGGCGGCACCCACGGATAATTGAATGGAAAAGGTTTGCGATGGGTGCCGGGAATCTGTTTTTAGGACAAAGCCCCCGGGTGGTTCTTGCTCCAGTCATTGTGTTGAAGCCTAGTAACTGAGCTGATGGCTGAAGTCCCTTGTGTAGAGTTACACAGGATCCTCCTCTGGCATCTGGCAGTGGTGGCGCCCCACTTCGTTCTGTGCCCTGAAATCGCAGTTCCCCAGAATCAACCTTGCCAGTCCGCTCTGCACGTCTCTCCTTTTCCAGGTGCCACTCGGGAGTTCCCAGACTTTCCCATTTCGCCTGGGGTATCTGTCAATAACTTAGGAATCCAGCCCCCTTCTCCTTACTTTCACGAGAGGCCCTGAAATTGGAGGGCTTGGCTAGAAGGGGATGCTACTTTTGTGACCTTGAGTAGGACAAAGCAAATCTTTAAACCTCTTTCTTTATCTTTACAGTTGCAGCAAATAATAGCTGCCAGGATCAAGCTATTAGGATGGCTCTGAGGATGGCCGCAAGGGTCAAGTGACATAATGGATGGGAAACATCCAGCCTCAATGGCACCTAGTACATATTTGCTGCTGCTGCTCCTCCTCCTCCTCCTCCTCCTCTTCCTGCCCCTCCTCTTCCTCCTTCTCTTCTTCTCCTCCTCCTGCTACTCCTCCTCCTCCTCTTCCTTTCTTCTCCTCCTCCTTCTTTCTTCTTCTTGTTCTTGTTCTTCTTCTTCTTTCTTCTTGTCTTGGTGAAGTCTTCCTGTCACCCAGGCTGGAGTGCTGTGGCGCAATCTCGGCTCACTGCAACCTCCACCTCCAGGGTTCAAGCAATTCTCTGCCTCAGCCTCCCTAGTAACTGGGATTACAGGTGCCCACCACGATGCCCAGCTAATTTTTGTATTTTCAGTAGAGATGAGGTTTCACCAACTTGGCCAGGCTTGTCTTGAACTCCAGACCTTGTGATCCACCCACATCAGCCTCCCAAAGTGCTGGGATTATGAGCATGAGCTACTGTGCCTGGGTTCCTCCTCTTCTTCTTCCTCTTCCCTCCTCCCTCTTCCCTCCTCCTCCTCCTCCTCCTTCTGGTGGAGTCTTGGTGGGGTCTTGCTGTCACCCAGACTGGAGTGCAGTGGCACAATCTTGGCTCACTGCAACCTCTGCCTCCTGGGTTCAAGCAATTCTCTGCCTCAGCCTCCCCAGTAACTGGGATTACAGGTGCCCACCACAATGCTCAGCTACTTTTTGTATTTTCAGTAGAGATGAGGTTTCACCAACTTGGCCAGGCTGGTCTTGAACTCCAGACCTTGTGATCCACCCACCTCAGCCTCCCAAAGTGCTGGGATTATAGGCATGAGCTACTGTGCCTGGCCTCTTCTTTTTTGTCTCGCTCTGTCTCCCAGGCTGAAGTGCAGTGGCACCATTTCAGCTCACTGCAACCTCTACCTCCTGGGTTCAAGAGGTTCTCCTACCTCAGACCCTTGAGTAGGTCGGACTGCAGGCACCTGCCACCACACCTGGCTAATTTTTATATTTTTCGTAGAGACAAGATTTCACCATATTGGCCAGACCGATGTCGAACTCCTGACTTCAAATGATCCACCTGTCTCGGCCTCCCAAAGATTACAGGTATGAGCCACCAGACCCAGCCTGTTCTTCTTTTTAGAATGTAATGTGGCAACACTGAGAGTGGTTAGAAGGAATAATGTCACATCTGGAGCCTTGCTAGGCAAAAGTCACCATGCCATCCTGGACCTCGTTCATTTCAGAGAAGCTCTGGGGATGCAGTGTCTGTTTAATCCTGAGAAAACCCTTTGGATGTAGAAGAGGACATAAAGAAATGAAAGCACTAAAAAACTCCACAATATAAAATTATTTCTATTATTAAAGGTTTAAAACATTTCTCCTAAGAGATTAAAAAACACTTTACTGTTTTCTGTATTCTCATTAGAAGATATTTGAGCATTTTTTGAGAAAACTAATTTATGCACAGCATATTTCTAACAAAGTGACTTTAGAGCCTCAATGTGTATTATGATATCAAAAGTATTCAAATATGTTCCCAAACCTTGTTTCTGCATGCCTTTATAATTACTGGATATCTCATATCTATGCGCAGGGCTCTTTTTGAAACACAGATGTTGGAGGGGATTTATTTTAATCGGGGAGGAGGGACAGGTTATTAAATATGGACACACAGTGTTTGGGAGAGCCCAGAGTGAGGTGGAGGGGTGTCCACACTTGGGCTTTGGAGTCCATGTGCTAGAGGATGGGGGCCACGGAGCAGGGAGGGTTCCTAGGATGCAGGAGGTGAGAGTTGGTGTATCAGGGCTGGGCAAGGGCTCTACAGGGAACAGCTCCTGCAGCAGTGGTTTCTGAATTTTGCTGCACATTGGAAGCCAAGTAGCAGGCTGAAAATGACCTCCAAATATATCAGAGCCGAATTCCTAGAACCTATAAATGTTACCTTCTTTGGAAAAAGAGCATTTACAGTTGTGATTACATTAGTTAAGGATCCTGAGATGAGGAGGTCATTCTGTATTATCCAGGTGGGTCTCAAATGCTGTCATAAATGTCTTTTTTTTTCCTTTTTAAAGATGGGGTCTCCTTTGTCACCCAGGCTGGAGTATAGTATGTGATCATGGCTCACTGCAGACTCAACCTCCTTGGGTTCAGGTGATTCTTCTACCTCAGCCTCCAGAGTGGCTGGGACTGGAGGTACACACCACCATGCCTGGATAATTTTTTTTTTTTTAATTGAGACGGGGTTTCACCATGTTAGCCAGACTGATCCCAAACTCCTAGGCTCAAGCAATGCAATTCATCCACCTCGGCCCCCCAGAATTTTGGCATTACAGGCATGAGCCACTGTGCCCAGCCGTAAGTGCGCTTATAAGAGAGGTGGAGAGAGATTAAATACACAAATGCAGCAGGGGATATGGAGACAGAGGCAGAGATTCCCGTGATGCAGCCACATATCACAGAAAGCCCGGAGCCTCCAGAAGCTGGAAGAGGCAAGAATCAGATTCTTCCCAAGAGCCTGCAGAGGGAGCTCAGCTCTCCAACATTGTAATTTCAGCCAGGGGATAACTGACTTTGGACTTCGGCCCCCAGAGCTGTGAGAGAATACATTTCTCCAATCTTAAGCCACCACATGTTTTCGGCATTTGTTACAGGAGGCACAGGAAACAAATCCAGCCACCCAGGAAGATTCTAAAAGTCCTAATGCCCAAATGCCCAGGTCACACTCCAGGCCCATCAATGAAATTGGAATGTCTAGGAGAAGGAGCCAGGCATCAGTATTTAAAGCTCCTCAGATGATTTCACCTGCAAAGTTTGGGGACCATCAGCCACTATAAAGATCCTTATTTCTTATTTCAGAATCTGCCCCATTTGGCTTTCTTGGAGCCTGATATTCCACCACTTACCATTAGGGATTTGTTTCTTGGCATTCCTTCATCTGCTGCTCCAGCCAATTTGCAGTTGTACCTGGGGCAGAATGTGCTATGGTTATCCTTACTACGAATGATAATCCAGACTTTTTCCTAGTCTTTTTTTTTTGGGGGTGGGGATGGAGTCTTGCTCTGTGGCCCAGGCTGGAGTGCGATGGTGTGATCTTGGCTTACTGCAACCTTCACCTCCTGTGTTAAAGCGATTGTCCTGCCTCAGCCTCCTGAGTAGCTGGGACTACAGGCCCGTGCCACCATGCCTGGCTAATTTTTTTTTGTGCTTTTAATAGAGATAGGGTTTCAGTGTGTTGGTCAGTCTGGTCTTAAACTCCTGACCTCAGGTGATCCACCCACCTCAGCCTCTCAAAATACTGGGAGCCACTGCGCCTGGCCAAGACACTTTCCTAGTCAGTTTAAACTAGCTCAGGAGATAGGTTAGAGTGAGTGTCCTCAGATTTTCAAGAAGAGGTTTTATGTTTTTAACATACCAAGTAATTTACATGACTTGTTTTTGACTTCAGTGATAAATGTCCAATGAGCTATTAGATTATTGAATTCTATATTTAAGGTAACAGGAAGTTGTGGTCAGCCCTTGAGAAAATGTCTTACAGTGCCTTCAGTCTTTCTGTCTTCCTTCTAGGGTTCCTTTTGTTGGGGACTGATATGGTTTGACTCTGTGTCCCCACTCAAATCTCATCTTGAATTGTAATCCCCACTCGTTGACGGAGGGACCTGGTGGAAGGTGATTGAATCATGAGGGCAGTTTCCCCATGCTGTTCTGGTAACAGTGAGTTCTTATAAGATCTGATGCTTTAAAAATGCTCAGCAGTTTCCGTTGCATGCTCTCTCTGCCTCCCTGTCTTCCATCTCCCTCTTCCTCTTTCCCTCTCTCTTCTCTTCTCTCTCCCTCCTGATGCCATGTAACATGTGCCTTGCTTCCCCTTCACCTTCTGCCACAATTGTCAGTTTCCTGAGGCCTCCCTAGCCAGGCAGAACTGTGCATCAATTAAACTTCTTTTGTTTATAAATTACCCAGTCTTGGGTGTGTGTTTATAGCAGTGTGAACACGGACAGACGTGAGGACCCAGAGCGTTCACGGGCCCTTGTCCTCCTGAGGAAGCATATGAGGGAGGCATCCCGCTGCCCTGCCCATTCCCCACCTTCCTTGTTCTTTTTCTGTTAGTGAATCACTGACCTCGAAGAATTTTGCAGTTCTCTGACCCACACCTCTGAGTCAGCTCTATAGGAACGGCATCTCCTCTAATAAGACAAAATGCAGAGTCTCCAGGGCTTGTACATGGAAGGAGAAAGTCCCAGAGAGCAGGAGTTGCTGACTCAACAATCTTGATTTCCCCTTAGGTTTTGTTGGTCCTCTCGGGGTAGAACCTCCAGCCTCAAGAGTTTGCTTCTTCATCTTTAAGTCTCTCTTCTCAGCTAGGATCAGCTGAGATTTTAAAGAAACAATGCATTTCACTATATAGAGAGCAAAAGACAAATAAGCTGGGCATGGTGGCTCATGCCTGTAATTCCAGCACTTTGGGAGGCTGAGTCAGGTGAATCACTTGAGGTCAGGGGTTTGAGACTAGTCTGGCCAACATAGTGAAACCCTGTCTCTACTGAAAATACAAAAATTGGCCAGGTGTGGTGGTGGGCACCTGTAATCCCAGCTACTCAGGAGGCTGGGGCAGGAGAATCACTTGAACTCGGAGTTGGAGGTTGCAGTGAGCCAAAATCACACCACTGTACTTCAGCCTGCATGACAGAGCGAGACTCCATCTCAAAACAAAACAACAACAAAAGAATTAAGCGGAGAATGTAAGGAGTTTGAAAGATGTGGCTTGTAAAATAGATTCCGTTATTACTCACTCGCTATCTGGGCCCTGTACCAGTTCACTTGGGACCTTTGGAAGAAAAGAAGACCCTGCTACAGAATTCTCCCTTTTAACTTTTAATATCTTTTCTCTTTTTGAGACAGACTCATCCCCGAGGTGATTTCTACCCTGCTCTGCTCTGGGACAGGAAGCAGCTTTGTGTGTAGTGCATGTTGAACAGGTACTAGTTTTGATTGTTTAATACAAGATGATAACCAGAGCATCTGGGTGGCTAAAATCACACATATGTGGAAAGGTGGGAGGTGGGGGGAAAAGAGGTTATCATCCTCCACGTTTACCTTCTGATGAAATTACTTCCTGATGCAAAGTCTGACTGACTGCAGGGTCTTTTTGAATGTGTTTTTACATTTAAACTCCACTTTAAATGCTTTCATATGAAGGAATGACTTGGGTCTAGGGCAGATGCATGCAAGTATGTGTGCATGCCTGAGTGCACACGGATTGATGTACATCTGTGGGAAGGGAAAGGGTGGCTTACACATTAACCCTCTGATCACCCCTCGCTAAGCAGTGTGGCACGAATACAGCGTCATTGATACTGCGGGCTTTCAAACTTGTGTTGCTTGAGAATCAAATGTCCTTTTCAAACTGAGGATGGTGGCATAGGTTTTAGAATTGAGAAGGAAAGAAGGGATTTGTCTCTTCTTGGTAAAAGGCATGAGAACAGGGTAAAGATGACTTTGAGAGATCAGTGCACCCAGAACGCTGAAGCCTGAAGATTATGCTGATCTGATGTCAGAAGCATAAACTACTGGCACTTTTTTTTTTTTTGCTTACCATGTCAGCTGCCTTCCCTTTGCCAACCATAATCCTAATCCTGCCCTGACCCTAACCCAACCTTGGTCCTGCCTCGGTTCCCTGTTACTCTGTTTCTGCAGAGCAGGCCACTATTGACCTCCCCTGCAGCCCAGCTTCCATGCCAGTTTTCAGACCAGTTTTGACTCGAGGCAGGAGTAGTCTACACTGACTCAGCTCTGACAGTTCCCCTGCTTCCAGACCCAAATCTTTCTCTCACACACATTTTAACTATGATGGGGTAGGACAGTGCACTGTTCCACTAAGTGCACCGTGCGACCACAGTGTGTTATCCACGTGTTTCTGATGCTTTGACATGCGGGGACTTGCTGACATTGGAGGGACTGTCCCTTCCAAGGCTAGCTAATTTCCAGAGATGGTAAAGGGCTTGCTTTTGATTGTACCTTTTGTATACAGACCCACCCATCTAGAACCCATTCCTTCAACAACCTTCTGTATCTGGCTCTCACACTCTAGAATGCTAATCCTCTGCCTTTGTTACCCCAGGGTCAGGTACCAAATGACTAGAGCCAGACCCTAGCCCCAGAGCCTAATGAAATTACGCAAACTGGTTAACCCTAAGCCTGCTCTTCCTGCCTTGCCTCTTCTTTCATGTGGAAGCCCTCTGCCTCCTGATCCAACCTTGGGAATTTTGAGTAAATGCAGCCTTCACCTCTTGGGCTCAAATGATCCTTCCATCTCAGCCTTCTGAGTAGCTGGGACCACAGTATGCACTACCACACCTGGCTAATTTTTGTATTTTTAGTGGAGAAGAGTTTTTTCCATGTTGCCCAGGCTGGTCTCTAACTCCTCAGCTCAAGCAGTCTGCCTACTTTTGCCTCCTGAAGTGCTGTGATTACAGGCACGCATCACTGTGCCAGGCCAAGTAGACTTTTTTAATAGATAATTTTTTAATAGACAATAGGCTTTTTAGAGCATTTAGGTTCACAGCAAGACTGAACAAAAGGCACAGAAGTTTCCCATATCCTGCCTGTGCTGACACCTGTACAGCCCCCCCACTGTGGAGATCCCCCACTGGAATGGTGCATTTGTTACAATTGATCAAACTATATTAACACATCCTAATCACCAGGAGCTCATAGTTTAAGTTAGAGTTTAATCCTGCTGTCGGACATTCTGTGGATTTGGACAAAGGACACATATAGACGATTATACTGTCGTATGGAGTAGTCTGAGTCGCAGTTTTTCTTGTCACTAAAATGAAGGATCAGATTAAATGGACTTTTCTGGAGTCTCCTTTTTAATGGCCCAGATAGGCTGGAGAGGTAGTGAGTGAGTCTCTCACCATTCCCTTATCTCCCTCAGAACCCCTAACCCTGTGGACTCTCCCCTCTCCCTGTTGCTCAGAGTGGTGGAGGAGTGGTGGTCTCCCTGTGCAAGGTGTCTTCGCGCTCGCTGAAGGTGGGCATAATTCCCCGCAGTTCCAATGAAGGAACTCTGCCTCTCACAGGTGAGGATTAGAATCTCAAAATAAAGTCAGATCATGCTAACACTGACATCTTTTTAAAACTGAAAGGTTAGGATTCAAAAGAAAACAGGAAATTCAATTGCTTGAATGTGGAACTCTTAATCACCTTAATTAAATACCTTCATTTAGGAAGACTTGGAATCATGCATCTTGATGTTTTTGCTTTGCCAGAACCTCAGAAGTGTTCTTCGAGACATGGTCTTTTCTCCCCAGCTGTCCCAATGGGGATCCCTTCTCCAGTGCCCGAAAGGCAGTCTTCTGCACTCTAGTGTGCTCCACATTGTAAGACGGATGCCCAGAGCTGGGGTTAGGGCTCAGATGTGGCTGCACAGCCCGGATTACAGGGCGATCACCAACATCTCCAGTCTAGGCTCCTGCAAGCCTGGCCCAAGCCCGAGATAGCATTTCAGTCTTCACTATTTAACACTCCCAGCTCTAGGATTTGCTTGAAGAAAAGTTTTACCTTATAAATCCCCTAGATGGTGCTCCTTGTCAAGCGTGTTTCTTTCCTTTCTTTTTTTACCCCTTTCTTTTGAAGCTCCTGGCCTCTCAGTAGCTTCAAAAGGGCCGAGTTAGCTGCTATTGTCTGAATGGAAAGCTTCGGTTGTGGATTCGGGGAGTGACGTCAGAAGTGATTTCTGCTGGAAACAGTCCCCTCCTCTGGGTATTTCACAATGGTTTACAGTAGGAATGAGGTGTATGCTGTGTTTATGTGGATGGCACATAGCTCTTGTTCTTTGTCACAGGACATTCTGTGTGCACAGAGGGTCACTACATTTGGTGGCTGGTGGTTACATTGATATGACTGGGGTGGAGGGCAGGGAGGAGTGAGATGTCAAGAGGTTAGGTCAAGCCCTTATCTTCTCTTCCTTCCTTTATCTCCCTGGTTCAAGTTTTCTTCACAAAGACAAATATATCTGGAGATTCTGATATATCACAAACCAAATGTTCTCCATTCTACCTAAAATGCTACCAGGACACATTTCTTTGGGCTATAGGGAGCCTTCTTAGCAAATATATGTTCATTCACACTCATTGCTGAAATCATGCTACTCTGTGAATTAGAATTCTAAGTTTTTTCTGCTTTCTTCCAGGTTTATTGAGGTATAATTGACAAGTAAAATTGTATATGAGAGGCTGAGGTGGGAGGACTGTTTGAACCCATGAGATCAAGATCAGCCTAGGCAACAGAGTGAGACCCCATCTCTACAAAAACAAAAATATTGCTGGGCATGGTGGTACGCAACTGTAGTTCCAGCTACTCAGGAGGCTGATATGGGAGGATCACTTGAACCCAAGAGGTTGAGGCTACAGTGAGCCATGATGGCACCACTGCACTCCAGGCTGAGCAACAGAGCGCGATCTTGTCTCAAAGAGAAAAAAAATTGTATGTATTTAAGGTATACAACATGATATTGTGATATATGTTTACACCGTGAAATGATTACCACAATCAATTTAATTAGTATCTTTATGGGTTTTAGAGAAGTGGGATGTGAAGTCAGGCGAGAAATGGTCAGAAAAGGAGCAACTGTTATTCAAAGAATTCGTTAGGTTGGATCAGCAGTTTTCAGTGTTTCCTCTGCTGTTCATTGCCATAGCACGGTCAGGCTTCTGTCCTGGCGGTGTTTGCTCTCCTTTCTCTCACTCCGTGAGCTGTGACTCCAGCTTCAGTATGTTACAGTCCACTGATCTGGAGATGAAAACAGTTTCTTGAGGAAAGAAGAGGAGAATTGAAAAGAGAGGGTGGATAAAGAAGCAGAGTCTCTCACCATCTGTGGTGTGTTTCTGGCCACTTAATCCGGGCTGCAGGCATGCAAACCTGCTTATCATCCTCTAGTCCTGTATTCAAAGGTGAAAGGTGGTGGTATCTGATTTAGGGAACAGAAATACGTAGTCTTTTCAGCTCCTCTGACATCACAGATAGGCCCAGGGTTTTATTCTGCCTTACTTGTGCCCAGGATCAACTTCTTTAATTTTTTTTTTTTTTTTTTTTGAGACAGGGTCTCTCTTTGTAACCCAGACTGAAGTGCACTGGTATGATCTTGGCTCACTGCAGCCTTGACCTCCCCTGACTCAGTTGATCCTCCCACCTCAGCCTCCCAAGTAGCTAGAACTACAGGCACACACTGCCATGCCCAGCTAACTTTTGTATTTTTTTGTAGAGATGGGATCTTGCCATGTTGTCCAGGCTGGTCTTGAACTCCTGGGCTCAAGTGATCCACCTGCCTTGCTCTCCCAAAGTGCAGGGATTACAGGTATTAGCCACCATGCCTGGCAAACATGATCAACTTTTACAAGGTGTCTAAGAAAGGCTCAAAATATCACTTCTCTTAGGGATTTCTGCATCTCCACTAAGAACTCTTAACTGAAATGCAAACTCTTTAGCTTTGAATTAAATGTCCCCTATGCGTAGCTTCCCATCCGCCATTCCCAAACATGTGTCCCCCCAAACACCTTTCGAGCCATCCAGGTTGTTGAACAGTAAGTTCTTCTGAGGCATGTGTATGCTTTACTATGTGGTGCTTGTGGTAGAAACCCAGCAAGTGATACTTCCCTTAATCTACACCTGTATAGTTCCCTTTCTCACTGAATCTGGTTGACCTTGTGACTTACTTAGATATGGTGTTGGGCCTAGGCTGAAAGAGACCTGCAGCTTTTGTTTTTGCTCTTTTGATGTCTTGAGAAGTCATGGAAGAAAGCCTGGGCCAGCTTCCTTGAGGATGCATGTTCTTGGGGGAAAGAAAGGCCCTTGAGTGTTAAAGGACATGAGGAGAGGAAGAGGAACATCCAGCTTCTAGCTGGTTGCAGCTAGCTAGACGTGCCCGAGAATGAGTGAGGCCATAGGATTCCTCAGCCCTGGGGGAACCGTGAAC